ACGGGCTCACCCCGTTACATGGAAAGCCCGCTAGCCGAAAAATCCCCATAGTGTAAAGAGGGGTATGTACCATCCTCACCTAGGGTGGAGGTGATGGCGACGGCAACTAATTCCGTGGACTATAACAATATGACGCCAAGACAAGAGCAAGACGCAACAAGATTGATGAAGTCATAGACTTTTTATGAATTTCTTTCTTGTCGCTGTTTTGGTGGTGTCGATTTGACAATACCATCGCGAACATCCTTACTAATGCTTGTTGTTGCGAAAGTTTAATACGGGTCGTCTGAGCAGGAACATAAGGCGATTTATTGACAAATATGAGTTCAAACTTTGTCAATGAATATCCTCATGCCAGGTAACGCAAGCTGCTAATTAATTATCACGACATAGGTGTAGTACGCTTGCCTCTTCGCTATCATCAGCAGCCGCGTTCAGGGAAAGAATCTTGCTTTTGCAGATCCACCACCTTGTTCTTATTGCCGCTGTCGATCAAAGTCATCTCCTGCGTGGCTACGATTTCACAATGCTGTCAAATTAATCGCTCAAAAATTAGTCTGCCTTGTAGGCTGAAAGTTGTAGCGGTCGCATTAACTATTGAAACCTGTACTACGGTAAATAGATCAAACGAGCAAGAAATATTGCGATTTTGCTAGTTATTATAACTTTAGCTAGCAGCTTTAGAATGCCCCCAATTTATCAATTTAGTAATGAGAGCTAGCTATTCACAATAGATGAACATGTCATCTTACATCTCGTTTTGCATTGAGCCATTTTGATTCGCGGTCGTATTCTTGAACTTGATACTGATCACACGCTTGCCAAACAGACTGTGGTGGTATCCCTTCTCGAATCGGTCGCGTGGGTTCGTGCGCACCATAAAAACGAAGCTACCTGTGACACACACCACAATCAGAATCTTGTAAATGCTGTCGATGTACGCGTCCTCGGCTGTGACACCGTTCTTAATAGCCGCAGTGTACTTGGCGCTAAGATCAGTCCGCCCACCACGCCACCAAGCGACCACGCCCACAAGATCGGTGAAGGCATCGCACATGTCTGTCAGAAAACACGGGATCGTGCCTAAACCGCCACCATACGACAACGTCAACTGGAATACGAGGACCGTTATGACTGTGTAGCTCTCATTGCGTATCAGCGTATGATCGCAATGATAACGATCTGTGAGACAACTCCGTAGAGAAAGAGGCTTTTACGCACGAATGCATGCTCAACGTTGAATACGCGTTTGATTACTAGTCGCCCAACAAAGCTGAAAAGACCGTTGATGTACACGATGTAGATATTTTAGGCGGCCGTCTTGCCGAAGAGCGTGGTGGACATAGCGGAAATTTTGAACAGCATGATGAGCCTGTAGAGCTGGTTGCCAAAAAACATGATACACATAAAAACGAAGTCAGCGACGTCATTGACTGAATGAGAGTCATTTTCTTCACCTGGGCCTTAGTGTCGTTTGCGCTCGGGTCCTTCTCCTCACGAACGGCCAGGTTCGCGACTGAATCGTACCCGCGCGAAGACCTAATACTCACGTTCTCGCCACGCTCCTGCGTCTCGTGAACAATTTCACCATGTATATTTAGTCCACCCAAAGAGGGCGAGTTGCGCAGCTGTACAAAATTTGACTCCCATGACACATCCAATGACGATGAACAGGTCGGGCGAGTTGCGCAGCTTGCTAGTCCAAGCGATGATAGGGAGGTACGCCTTTGTCCACACGACCAAAGTCGCTCCCAGCAAAGCCAAAAACAGCTCCACGGTATTGGAAACGGGCCGACACGGGCGAATGTAGCATGTGTCGTTTTGCTAAAGCCGCAAAAATAGCCCGTAACTAATAAAGAGACCGACAATTGAGTTAGCGTGCAACGAGATGCAGTTGATAACACAATCGATCATAAACGATGTCGTGTCAAGCATCATACCGGATCGAGGGCCATTGCGCTTTAGCCACGGACCCATGGTGGCCGTCGTGGTACCTATCATTCCCACAGAAATGTGTAGATGCATTAACCGCCATGCCTTGTCCTTCTTGCCGCAGATGCGCAGATCAATAGGATTATGGGGTACCGACCATGAGGAGATCGCACCAACCATGAAGAGATCGCACCGATGCAATGTGGCATCAAGAAAACTTGCTACCAAGAGGTGCCAGCGCTTAAACTTGATCCACGGCAGTGTCATGCACTTGCCAGGTGCAGACGGTGAGCAGATATATTTCGGCTGCGTCTTGCACCGCGGATCATTGAGTGTCGATACTGTCCAATGCTGAATCAGAAATCCTTTGGCTTTGTCGCTGCAGGACTTGGCAGGAGGGGTCATCTTTGGCGAATAGAGGAGGCGATGAGGTATAATTCGAAATAAATAGAAATGTGCACCCGTCTCCTAGTGAGCAATGAGAGCGCTATGAACGATTTATCCACCAACTTTGAAAGTCTACAGCGATCTTCTTGCCTTCGCACTGAACTTTGGCTGTAAAAGCTCGATCGTTTTTGTGTATCACGAAGCATGTGATGCCACGAATAAGAGACACAATATGTATGATCAAAAGCACTGATATGCTGATTAGATTTTGGGGATGCCATAGTCGAGAAGAGCGTCCTACAAAGTTACGAATTCTGATACATGCTAATACATTTTATAAGCAATTATTATGTACATTGTTTTTAAAACGCTAAATTCTTCTACCTGACGTATGCTCGCAATATTTATTCGCGCTCGTTGTCGTTTTTCTTATCACCATCTTCACCGCCAAAAGAGACTGCGGCGTACGAACAGATTGAACACGAGAGAATTTTGACGTTAATGAACCCGATGAATAGAAACGAAAAAAGGTCAATCGACCTAGTCACCGCAGACCTTCTCTTCATTCTTTTCATACGAGAAATCGATCAGTTTTATCTCTATCATTCACAAAAAAGGTTATCAATGGTGAGGCTATTATATGCATTCGTCGGTGAAGCAGGATGTGTGTACAGGGTGAACATCCGCAGCAGCCAGTCAGTTAATGACTTAAAGTGCAAAATTAAAGAGGAGAACCCTCTTCAGGTCACGTGCGCCGCGGCTGACCTGCGGCTCTTCCTGGCGAAGAGAGGCAACGCGTGGGTGACAACTCATCGAGGAGTGAATGACACCAGTGACCTGATGCCGCTAGATGTTGTATATGCGCCGCTTAGCTTTTTTGGCTTGTCAAAAAGAGCCATGCGGACCAATGTTACGACGGAAGATGCTAACGATAGAAGCACCCATGTGCACGTGCTGGTAGTGGTCCCCAGTGACCCAACATTATTGAGGTTAAAGCGTGCGTAACATCCACCGTTTCCTATTTTTTTGAAAGTGACTGCTAATTTCTTTCATTTGTTACTGATACAGAACAAAGAGAATGGGTAGTCAGCGCAAAGTGTTACGTTGGTTGTGTAATATTTGTACTAAGCATCCTGGCTATAGCCTTTGGAGAAAACCCAATGGAAGAAAAAGCTTGTTGGGGGACTTATGGCCAATCTGTCACGTGTGGGGCAATTGCTGTCAACATGATGCTTGTAGCAGTTAAAGAGTATCTGTTGCCGACGTTATTATCATATTATGATGACAAAATTGAAATGCTCGAGTCAACAAGTGCAAACAGACTCAATCGTGTCATCTAAACTGACAAGTCATAGCAGCAACCGCCGAGCAATAAGCGTCAATGCAGCAAAAACAATTGTAGCGTAAAAAAAGAAGACAAATGGTACTACTTTTCCCATTCGATAAACAAATGGATTTATAGCATGTTCAGTCGTCCTCTGCAAAGATATGATGCGCAGTGTTGTAGCTGGTATACTACGTTATCTAAGCGGAATATCCTCTGGTTGTAATGTTATAGGATGCGTCATTTTCGACGCAATCTATGAGTTCAAATGGTACTTGGTATATAAAGTGCTCTGTTACCAACGTCCTTGATCATGTGAGTGACCGGTCAGCTGCGTTTCATACATTTCCGTTCGCTCCACGCTCATTCCTTTTCACGCAGAGTCAACCCTAGACATCAGAGACTTTCAAAATTAAACAAGCGGTACCCCTCGACAATCTCGCTGGATCCCTAGAATATGCTTCTTAAGTTCTAGTCTGGTTCAATTTGTGTTATCTTCGACTTGTTAATGTGGCTGTTTTCACGCGAAAGTGATTTATCGAATGCTCTCACCATGAAAGCCGATTTATACTGTGTCATCGTCAGTTCTTGCGCGTTGGTGGCACAGTTAATAAGTACACCACTTCTTCTTACCAAGCTGTCGACACGCCTTGTAAAAGCATGCTCCAGACCTTTCATTTTGGTCCGACTCACCCGTTGTACCACCACTGCGCTGGTAAATGATGTCCTTGAGTAAACTATTTTTTGGTTTACCTTCTTTGGAAACTCCATCTTCCGACCGCAGGATCGCTTTTCCTACCGCTTTCCATATAAACGATCATAAAAATATATTTTACCCTCCGCTCTTCTTTTTCAAGAAGTAGGCCGCCAGCTATTGCGAGCTATCATTCGCGAGTGTCAAAACATGCGTAGTTTTACTGTTGAAGGAATCTTCATCGGCACTAAACGATTTTGTTCAAACGTGCTGAAATGGTGCTACCACACAATCGCTGAAGCGATTGGGTCACATCCGGGATACTGTTCGTAGCATGCTACATCTTGTAAAAGCTTCCTTATTAGAGTGTCCCTTGCGGGCGTGCTGAATCTCTCATTGTAAAATTGTATCACGAAGCTTGATGCTTCGTGATACAATCCTTGAGTAAAAATTTAATGCTCTAGATAATGCGGCACACACATCCATGATGAATTCAAAATGGCCGAAATCTTTGTGACGGGTAAGAGGACCCGTCTGCACGAGTTATAAACCATCGGAGCTGGTGGATAAATTGTTCATAGCGCTCTCATTGCTCACTAGGAGACGGGTGCACATTTCTATTTATTTCGAATTTTACCTCATCGCCTCCTCTATTCGCCAAAGATGACCCCTCCTGCCAAGTCCTGCAGCGACAAAGCCAAAGGATTTCTGATTCAGCATTGGACAGTATCGACACTCAATGATCCGCGGTGCAAGACGCAGCCGAAATATATCTGCTCACCGTCTGCACCTGGCAAGTGCATGACACTGCCGTGGATCAAGTTTAAGCGCTGGCACCTCTTGGTAGCAAGTTTTCTTGATGCCACATTGCATCGGTGCGATCTCTTCATGGTTGGTGCGATCTCCTCATGGTCGGTACCCCATAATCCTATTGATCTGCGCATCTGCGGCAAGAAGGACAAGGCATGGCGGTTAATGCATCTACACATTTCTGTGGGTATGATAGGTACCACGACGGCCACCATGGGTCCGTGGCTAAAGCGCAATGGCCCTCGATCCGGTATGATGCTTGACACGACATCGTTTATGATCGATTGTGTTATCAACTGCATCTCGTTGCACGCTAACTCAATTGTCGGTCTCTTTATTAGTTACGGGCTATTTTTGCGGCTTTAGCAAAACGACACATGCTACATTCGCCCGTGTCGGCCCGTTTCCAATACCGTGGAGCTGTTTTTGGCTTTGCTGGGAGCGACTTTGGTCGTGTGGACAAAGGCGTACCTCCCTATCATCGCTTGGACTAGCAAGCTGCGCAACTCGCCCAACCTGTTCATCGTCATTGGATGTGTCATGGGAGTCAAATTTTGTACAGCTGCGCAACTCGCCCTCTTTGGGTGGACTAAATATACATGGTGAAATTGTTCACGAGACGCAGGAGCGTGGCGAGAACGTGAGTATTAGGTCTTCGCGCGGGTACGATTCAGTCGCGAACCTGGCCGTTCGTGAGGAGAAGGACCCGAGCGCAAACGACACTAAGGCCCAGGTGAAGAAAATGACTCTCATTCAGTCAATGACGTCGCTGACTTCGTTTTTATGTGTATCATGTTTTTTGGCAACCAGCTCTACAGGCTCATCATGCTGTTCAAAATTTCCGCTATGTCCACCACGCTCTTCGGCAAGACGGCCGCCTAAAATATCTACATCGTGTACATCAACGGTCTTTTCAGCTTTGTTGGGCGACTAGTAATCAAACGCGTATTCAACGTTGAGCATGCATTCGTGCGTAAAAGCCTCTTTCTCTACGGAGTTGTCTCACAGATCGTTATCATTGCGATCATACGCTGATACGCAATGAGAGCTACACAGTCATAACGGTCCTCGTATTCCAGTTGACGTTGTCGTATGGTGGCGGTTTAGGCACGATCCCGTGCTTTCTGACAGACATGTGCGATGCCTTCACCGATCTTGTGGGCGTGGTCGCTTGGTGGCGTGGTGGGCGGACTGATCTTAGCGCCAAGTACACTGCGGCTATTAAGAACGGTGTCACAGCCGAGGACGCGTACATCGACAGCATTTACAAGATTCTGATTGTGGTGTGTGTCACAGGTAGCTTCGTTTTTATGGTGCGCACGAACCCACGCGACCGATTCGAGAAGGGATACCACCACAGTCTGTTTGGCAAGCGTGTGATCAGTATCAAGTTCAAGAATACGACCGCGAATCAAAATGGCTCAATGCAAAACGAGATGTAAGATGACATGTTCATCTATTGTGAATAGCTAGCTCTCATTACTAAATTGATAAATTGGGAGCATTCTAAAGCTGCTAGCTAAAGTTCTAATAACTAGCAAAATCGCAATATTTCTTGCTCGTTTGATCTATTTACCGTAGTACAGGTTTCAATAGTTAATGCGACCGCTACAACTTTCAGCCTATAAGGCAGACTAATTTTTGAGCGATTAATTTGACAGCATTGTGAAATCGTAGCCACGCAGGAGATGACTTCGCCCGACAGCGGCAATAAGAACAAGGTGGTGGATCTGCAAAAGCAAGATTCTTTCCCTGAACGCAGCTGCTGATGATAGCGAAGAGGCAAGCGTACTACACCTATGTCGTGATAATTAATTAGCAGCTTGCGTTACTGGCATTGTAACGGAGTTACCCGACGGTTGTATCATCATACCAAAACATTACGGTTGAAGTTCTTTATGTATTTTTATACCGATTTTTCTAAAAAGGGGTATCACAGATGAGTGATATTATAAGGTATACGTAATACCTTATACTATCGGTATCAGTTACGTTACTAAAACCTCGCGACAATGATTTTTGTGCCGCAATAATTTGATGACGCTCTGGATTCGGCATTAGCACTGGACGCAATGAATGTGGCCGTGTGGTATCAGATAGCCTCGACGGCCGTAAAGAGTAGCAAATTATTGCTGGCTCGGAAACTATTGGAAAAGCAGATCTTTGTTGACGCTAAGTACTGTCCACTGGTGGAGACGCTGGCTTTGGTGCTGCACCATGTAAAAGACAAGGACGAGTATGAATTTGCGGCCAAGTATCTTGCAGAGTAAGCTAATGAAGATAGGGAAGGTGAAGGAGCTGCTGAGGCGATCTGCTGGCCTTGAGACGGTGCTATTGATGGCATTTCGGATAACGACACATAGGACAGCGGCAGTCATGCACGAGAAGAGATGGAAAGTCAGTCGAGAAGACGAAAGTCACGTCGGCACGAGTAAAGCCTGAGAAAAGAGCATGCTGCAGCAGTCAAGAAAGCACAAGAGCAGGACTTGATATACCGATTGGGAGCTTTTCTTCGAATGTATGCTAGCAATGACGACATGAAGACGACGCTTACATTAGTTGCCGCCGCCATTGAATTTTGAGTTCACAGACGAGGAGTTCAGCATTTTGAATGGAAGTAATGAGATACTTTTGAAAACAGCGTCGTTTGCATTCGCGAAGGCCACAGATGGATCTACGCGTAACACGGAGCTGTCTTTTTCACGGACAACAGCAAGTGATCAGGCTGTGCATGTGATGGCACCTCTAGCAGAATGCGTGACGGAAAGATAGATTTCAATTTTGATCAATTAACGTGGTGGCGAAAATATACTTGGTGGAATAATGGACTGAATACGGCTTTACCTCCACCAATGTGGTTAAAGGTTGAACTTAAAACTAGGGAAAGAGGCTGAAGTAATTCACAAAGTGTGCATGTGGCTGGAAAAACATTTAGCGGAGACTATAGGAGTGACATTCCCGCAACGCTGCGCCATTATTTTTAGCGAAATACTCCCTTATTCATGGTAGCCGCTTTACGGGGAATATATTATCGCTGGTTCTCAGCTATTCCTGCTGGAGCTTCATTTTAAGGTGATTCTGCAGTAGCCAGTCCGGCGTTGTAAGATAAGAAGACTAGTGGAGATCAGTTGGATGAGGCCCAAAACCTTTTGTTTTCGTTTGGCTGGCTAGAGGACTCTAAGGATGCTTCATGTCGTTTAATAGAAGATGAATTCCTACGATTGTTTTGGCTCATGGTGTGCATGTATAAACGATGTAGGGAACCTCAGATGGCTCAATACTACTTCACTAAATGCAGATGACCAAAGCAACAATTGCACCTTTTAAGTTGATTTAAGGAACCAAAAAGCTGATAGTAAAATTACATTAAGAATCTTGGATGAAAAATATCAGGATTACGCTATTCCGACGTGTGTGCTAAAGCTCGAAATTTAAATCTGGGGAAGACCACGATCATGTTGCGTCGGTTTTGTTGGGCGCTTCTTCCCCTGTAAGCAAGTGCCACGGATGACAGACTTTCTGAACGAGAGTAAAGTTGACGAGGTTGAACACTCGGTGTGTGGTAAAAGCACTAGGTTCTTTTGAAATGGTGCTACATTTACTTGGACAGAGTTAAAAAAAGTCGGACGAAGACACGACCTTTTTCTAGTTAACGGCTCTTTCCTGTATAATTGATTATCTTGGTGGCTTGGCTGTAAAGAATGACCTTACCTCCAGACAACACTCGCCCGATGAAACGTGTACAAGTTTTTTTGCCGCATTAATTTATCTTGCTAGCCCGGCTCACGAAAAACAGTGGTGGAGTGGGTTCTCAAAATTGTATGATGAGACCCCAAACCACTCACTGTGCCGGACTGCCGACTGTCGGAGGGGGTACCCCGATGCCGCGTATGAGCCTTCTCTCACCTTGTGCACCCGTCGGCTGGCGGATTGCACTCTTCGGAAGACTTGGTGAGGATGTAGACGTCTGCCTTGAGGGAGGTAGACCTGGGGGGCCTCGAGTGGATATGCTTCACTCGGTGGGCAGGTAGGTGGCCACTCGATCGACCTTGTCGAGAGTGGACTTAGAGCCAAATTCTTCAGGGAGCTTATCCCTGGCCTTTCCCTGGCCTTTTCCTTCGTGTTTCAGGGGTATCAACCACCTGAACTTTACGTTGCTCCCGGACCTTGAGGTGAGGGAGACCGCTTCCGATAGTGGGTCTTGGGGGGTGTTGCTACTCGAACGAGCTCATAGGCCAAATATATCCTGGAGCTCTATGCGCACTTGAACTTCGCTACACAACTGTCTTCGACGGGGGGCCAAAATATATCCCTTCCCGGAACAGTGAGTAACTTAGAGCAAGTTCTTCTTGGGTGACGGAGTCGTGCCACGTAGATCGCAAATTGAGTAGTATTTAAAAGGTCCTATCCTTTTAACTCCTTTACTCTATCCTTGCCTGAAGCTCTAATTCCTTGCGTCGACTGGTCTGATTCTTGTGTTAACTGGTCCGGAGTGGCTGAACCCCGAAGGGCCAAGGTCGATCGCCGATAACCCAGGTCTATCAACGAGAGGCAGAGTCTACCAATGAGGGGCCCAGGTCTACCACCCAAAGACCGAGTCGACCAATGAGGGATCCAGATCTTCCGGGTCGACCAATGAGGGACCCAGGGCTACCAACGAGAGACCGGGTCGACCGATGAGGGGCCTGGGCCTACCAACGAGGAACCGGGTCGATCAATGGAAGGTCATGGTCCACTTTCTTCGGCACCAGCTAACCGGTACCTTGATACTGATTTTTCTTCTGTGGGTCCTGCAGATTGTTCTCCGCCAACGGTCGCTCCCCTTTGAGGCCCCTATCTTTCTGGTCTCCTGTCCCTGACCCACGGTCTATACTCCGAATCCAACTGGATTCTGGGATCCCCATATCGCAAAGACAGCACTTCACCACAGCCGCCCCTGCACTTGCTCAGCCGTACAACGGATTGAGCACGCGCATGTCTTCACTTCCTTCGTCACGTAGGTCCTTTACTGTCCTCTTTGTTGGTCGTCCATCTCTAACTCGTGTCGTTCCAGCCATGTCTTCCGTGCCCCATCTTGAAACTATAGTCCCGCGCCTCAAGAGTAAGTTTGGGCCTCCCTTTAAGGTTTTCCTATAAACACCAACACATCGTTCTCTTCGATCCTATTTTTGAGAGTCTGTCCATCTTCCATATCCTCTGCCATACTTTCCTCTGTTTATTGGGATTCTTGTCAGTCCTTCTCCTTTTTTCTTTTTTTCTTCATTCTTCTATACATCGGACTCGTGAAAAGTGAAGGTCTCCCTATAGGAGACCCAAGTCGACCAACGAGGTACCGGTCAACCAATAAGGACCAGGTCTACCAGGTCTACCTTTAAGGATCTTGGTATAGTTCGCTAGTTTTCATGATTTTGCATTACTTCGAAGCGGGAATGGCTTGTCTTCTTGCACTCGAAGTGCGGAGTTATTCTCCGCAATTAAGATCCACTTCCTTCACCCACGAGGGGTCAGGGTGTCCCTTCCATTGCACGAGGAATTCTCGTTTCTACCGTTCATACCGAGTTTCATACCTGTACGGCTCTCTAAAATTTCTTCGACTTCATACTCGCCCTCTTCCAATTCCCGCACCCAGCTGTCTTCGGGTAGCAGACATTCGTCAAAGTCGACTCGATCCGTTCCATCCACCTTCAGCTCGCTGTTCGGTCGATCGGGGAATTCTCTGACGGGCTTGAGCTTGTAGATGTACACGATTGGGAATAGTCTATATTCTGTGCCTCCTAGTTCCAAACGTACTGCATGATCTCCGACCAATTCCCGAACTCGGAATGGTCCGTGCCAGAGGTGGGCCAATTTCTTAGCATACCCTTCCTAGAATCCCATCCATGGACCAGATAGAACAGTGTTTCCTCCCGCACTCTGTCTTGAGCCGTGTTTAACGCGAACGCTAAACGTTCCGCGCATTCATGCCAGTCTCGCTGTCCCACGTCGGCCACATACATCTTGAGCGATCTTGTTGGAGTCTGGACCATTCTCTCCGCAGTGCCGTTCGCTTGAGGTCGGTAGGCCATGGTTGCTCTCTGACGTTGACCCACCATACGACTGAGCGCTCGGAAGAAGTCCGACATAAACCCCGGTTCCCGATCGTGACGGATCGTCTCACTGGCACCAAAACGGCGGAAAACGCATTCTTCATATTCCTCAGCTACTGTCTGGGCTGTCCGTGACGCACTTGCTTTAGCCATCACATTACCTGTGAACAGGTCGACCCAGATCAGTAGTTCCGTATTTCCTTTATGCGACTTGGGGAGAGAGGGTATGTGGTCCATCGCGATAATTTGGAAGGGGTACGTCGCTTCAACATTCCCCGGAGACTTCCCTTGTAAAGTGGGCCACCCTTTCCCAGTCTCGCAATCCATGCACTGACCCACATATTTCTGCACACTCC